ATCGCATAGAACAAGCAGCTGATCTTGAATCCGATCTCACTTCAGTTATAGATTGGGGTTCACAGTGGCTTGTAAACTTCAACTCTAAAAAAACCCAGTTGCTTACTGCAAACAACTACCGTAATATGGTCAACATTCCTATATTAATGAATGGCAATCCTCTTACTGAGTCGTCCTCTTTACGTCTTCTTGGATTATTGCTTACTACTGACCTTTCATGGAAACCATATATACAATTGATTGCTAAATTAGCTTCTGCTAAGGTTGCTTCTCTTTATCGTGCTCGCTATTTCATTACTTCTGATTCCATGCTCTACCTCTACAAATCTCTTATTCGTCCCTGTATGGAATATTGTTGTCATACTTGGGCTGGTTCTTCTAACGATTCACTTTCTCTTCTTGACAAGGTCCAAAATCGCATTGTAAATGTTGTTGGATCTGGACTATCTGCTAAGCTTGAGCCTCTTTCCCATCGTCGTAAAGTTGCATCTCTTTCTCTTTTCTACAAATACTATCATGGTCACTGCTCAAAGGAGTTATCATCTCTAGTTCCATCAACTAAAATTCATTCTCGTTTTACTCGTCATTCAGCTAAGTCTTATTCGTTTACTGTATCTGTCCCTGCATGCTCTAAAAACTTTTATTCATCTAGTTTTTTTCCCTGCACTTTAATCTTTTGGAACTCTCTTCTATCTTCATGTTTTCCTGACTCATACAACCTTCAACTTTTCAAGTCTTCTGTCAACCGCTTCCTTGCTCTATAACTCTGTTCTTTTTTTTCCTAGTAACTCCCAACTTAATAGTGGTTGCTTGCAGTCTTGTTGGGAGTGAATGCAAATAAAAAAAAAAAAAAAAAAAGACACTATTTCAAAAAATCTATTTATTAAATAAACAAGTTATTGGATTTTGGCAAAATATATTTCTTCTTAAAGCTTCTTAAAGATTGTCATTATGAAAATTACTTTCTTTTCTTACTAATTAACAAAATGAACGCATACTAAAATAAATATAAATTATTTCTCATACTTTCCTCAGTAATGGGAGACTTTTTATTCGATGAGGAATCTTTTTGAGTAGCTTTTATTATAATGGAAATTAATGCAGGTGTCTCTGGCAAAACTTTTTTTTTCTTTTTTGTTGAAAAACACACGCGCCACCTTCGCTTTACACTGTATTAAAATCCTATTATCTCAGGAAAATCTTGCCATTGATCTAAATATTTTTTGATCAAAAAATAAATCAATCAATATCAAAAAAGTAAATTAAAAAGTAAATCAAAAAATATTCGATACTAGAATACTGATGTAAAGTAGCTTTTACTAAATACTATTATAAAAATAAATGTCATAACAATGAAATAAAATGTCATAACAAGAAATTAAAAGTCAACAATAATAAAAGTAACAACTTTAAAACATTTATAAAATAAATAAAATATATTATTTAACTACAGATAAAGTTTGTAAACAGCTAAAGCATAGAAAAAAACATTCAGAATCTTTTCTTTGTAAAACAACTTGCAGACAGACCTTTTATGCGTACTCCGCATACTGTAGCTCAACCTTGAGCTACAGTATGCGGAGTACGCATAAAAGTTGTTTTCTTTTTCTTTTTTTGCGTTATAAGAGTAGATACTTGCTTACTATTCTACTGGTTATTTTTGGTTTGATTATGCTTGGTTGGATTATGTTTCTAAAGGAGGACAGTCCTTGATATGCAAGACAACCCTTGTCTCGGTTCTTTAGCATCTACAAGTACCGAGTGAGTGAAAAGTTCAGGTAGCGTCTGCCCAGCCTCTTGTAACTTTGCACGAAAGTTCGGCTCGACTATCTTCTGATGTCTGGTTCAACGTCCTTGCTAGTTTTTTTACTCCATGATTAAACAAGCCAGTATTGACTTGAACTTTTACAAGATCATTTGTTGTAAGACTTGTCTTACCAGACGAAGCAACTGAATTAACTTGACTTGGGCCTGTTAATAAAGAATAAATATTTAATTAGTTAAAAAGAAAACGATGATAATTTAAATATTTCCCGTTAAGTTTTATTACCTGGGATGATATGATAAGGGCGACCCCCACTTGGTTGAGCTAGTCTAATGATTCCTTTTGGAGAGGCATTATTGGAAGCAATTATATTTGAAGTAATCTGTTCAGAAGCGCTGAGATCAGCACTGGCCAACTTTTTCAAGTTTTCGTGGAATGTGAACCAATTGCATTTGGGTAAAAGTCCTTTTCAAATAGGACTAAGGCATGTTGTACAACGCAGAGGAACTCATGCTTGTGCTTCATGGTTGACCATTGGACTTTTTTGATTATGCCTCAAATCTCCTATGGGAAAAATTAGGCATGAGCATTCTTGACCAGCTGTTCTGGTTTCTGGTTTCATGTAGATTGTTAAGAAATCAAAAAGGTCAGGAAGACTGACACCTTTTCCTATATCTTTTTGTCTCAAGAGTAAACAGCAAGCTTTACACAATCCTTGGGGAACACGTGGGTCTTGGTAGTTAATCTGATGTTGGCAAATTGAAAAATTCTTTCATCTTGATGTAATTTGACGTGTTGCTTTTTGAAAGCACAGCAAGCAAACAGTTTTTCGATTTGCATCATGATCTTTAGCTTGGTTAGGCATAGTTAACGTTTACTGAAATATCAGAAATATATCATTTTAAATAGGAGTATTGTTTACTGAAATGTAGCAAATACACAAAAATAAAGTTTGTTTTACATAAAAGTGCAGAGAATGTGGGAAAAACTTTGAATTAATATCAAATAATAATTACACAGATTTCTAATGACTATTTTTGGTATTTACTTTGATTAATATTGATTTCAGATCATTAAATGATTATCTTGAAGTGATATATTATTCAGTTTATGGTTCATATGTTCAAAATTTGTGCAAATTGTTTTTCAATTCAGAATGCAAGAAAAAAACAACTCAAATAAATCTTTCCTTTGATCTTTTGAGGCAATATAACGTTGTTTTCTACTTAAAAAGTAAAAGTTTAGTTTTTTCAATTTTTGAAGTCCTAGAATGATTTTTTTCCGTATTTTTAGTAACGCAAAACAAAAACAAACGCTTGTGTATGTCAAAATAGGGGTCTTTAGGTTTAATGATCATTAAGATGGTAGGCACATCATTATAACAAGATGGTGCTAAACATAACAAAAATAATAAATATCGCTGGTTCTATGTTAATATATTTTTATAAATTTACAATTTACAAAATATAGTTTGAAAAAGTTATTATCTATCATCAGTACCCATTGTTTTCTGTTCAACTAATTTTGTATGCTGTAAAAATGCACAATTTTGTGAATGCTGTCATCTCTTGACATGTGCAAAAAGTTCAAAGTGATTTTTTTTCGCTAAAACGTTGTAACTAGATTTTAATATTTATATTTTATTTATAATATTTTGACTCTGTGGACCATGTAGATTCACCTAGGCCAAGTGGCATTCTTATTTTTTATTTTTTATTTTTTTTTATTTATTTATTTTTTTTTTTATTTTTTTTTTCTATTTTTATTTATTATTATTTTTTTTTTATTTATTCTTATTTATTTATATCTTCTTAATTATTTAAAGTAAAGTCAAACCGAAGTAAATATTTCCTATTTTAGACAACTGTGATTTGTTTATCTATATATAAAGACGACTATTTTTATTATTATATATTAATTAAACTTTTCAGAGTCGACCAGTCAAATCTAATAAGTTCAATTAATGTTTCATTTTTTAATTGTCATAGGAAATATGTCATCAAGTACAAATAATTGCTATGGTTATATCAAAATGTATGTAAAGGTTGGGTTAGGGTTATTTTATTATTTTATATAATATGTTTTATATAAATTATAAACATATTTATTAAATAATTTAAATCATACTCTCATACAACCTGGTTAAAAGAAGAAGAACAAAAACCTTGTTAACATTACAAACTCTATAAAAGAAAAAAACAAGAATATAGGTAATAAAAAATGAAACTAATACAAAATTAAAATAAATAAAACAAAAAAAAAAAACAATTAAAAGTTTATTCTAATTGCTTGAACTCCTTAAATTCTTCTTTTTGATGAAAATATAGGTTTGCCGAGAGTCTGTAATAATGAAGTAAACCATTTGGAAAATTTAGATAGCATCATATTAATAATTGTAATGATTTTAACTTTAACGTAGTTATAAATGTTTACTATTTATAACTACGTTATAAATAGTAGACATTTATAACTACGTTAAAGTTAAACGAAATTTAGCCTATGATACTGATAAAGTAATCAACTGTTATCAGTATCATAGGCTAAATTTCTTATTTAAAATGTATGCTAAATATCTTAAACACATACACAGTAAAAAAGAATACATAAAAAAAAGTGAAAATTACATAATAGTTAAAATAAAATTAAAGCAGAGAGGGGCTCAAACAAGATACGGAAAAACATAGTATAATCGCAATCTTTTCATAGAGTCCATTTATTAAGACTTAAATAGTATATCCTAATTGTATAAAGTTACGGGTAAAATATTCAAAACAAATTAATAAAAAAAAAAAACAGAAAATAAAAAATATAAATGCGCTCATGTACTCCTCCAACGTGATATTGGCATTAAAATATCTGCAAACAGTTAGAGACTTCTATTTATAAATTGAAAATAATACATAGTTAAATTGTATTTGCTAATTTTATATTTACGTTGTTGTGTAATCATTCATGGTTAGGGTTAGGGTTAGGGTTGAAATGTAGTACTTGTATAAATTTTTTGGATTATATTTTATGCCTGCTAAAGATTTGTTGCAAATCAAGTTAATATATTACAAAGATAAATTTTATTTTTACGCAACTGTTGTTTTATGCATATTATTCAAATATATATATATATATATATATATATATATATATATATATATATATATATATATATATATATATATATATATATATATATATATATATATATATATATATATATATATATATACTTTGAAAATTTACATGTAGATGGAGCAGACCAACAAGAAATAAATGATTTTAAAGAAGAAATAAGTCTCATGAAGAAAATTGGATATCATCGTAACGTAATGAATATGTTTGGCTGTTCGACAGTTAAAAATCCTTTATGTTTAATTGTTGAGTATATGGAAAATGGTGATTTATTGCAGTTTTTACGATCTAGGCGTTCTAAAGTAACTTTTTTTTTAACATTACATATATATATACATATATATATATATATATATATATATATATATATATATATATATATATATATATATATATATATATATATATATATATATATATATATATATATATATATATATATATATATATATATATATAGCCTACTAGTTTGCATTTTTTGGGGACATTTTATTTTTGTTCCAGTTCTATTCTTTTTTTTTTACTTTTTTAGTTCGATTTATATATATATATATATATATATATATATATATATATATATATATATATATATATTATATATATATATATATATATATATATATATATATATATATATATATATATATATATATATATATATATATATATATATATATATATATATATATATATGTATATATATATATATATATAATATATATATATATATATATTTTTTTTTTTATTTTGCTTCTATTTTTATTTATACATATTTAAACTTATTATTTTATAATAAAAAAAAAGTTTTTATATTAATTTTTTTATTTTCATTTATTTACTTTATATTACATTTCATTTTTAACTTCATCTATTTACAAAAACGTTTAATTACAGTAAAATAATTAAATTTAAACCTTGCCATAACGTAACCCTAAGCCTGACCTTAATGCCTGGCCTAACCAAACCTTCAGTCGATGAAGCAGCGCTCCCTTGCGAGTCAGGCTATTTGTCAGTCGATTCATGTACTTTCGTTCTCTATAAAAGTTTCTTATGAGTACCTTTTTTTACCAAAAAAAGCATGCTTACAGGGACAATAAATTAACGAGTACCCTAAATGTCACCGATAACTCAAATGTCCCCGTAAATGTTAGTTTTTTTTTTTTTTAAATCTGTACACGTAAGAGCTAAACTAGGTGTATATATATATATATATATATATATATATATATATATATATATATATATATATATATATATATATATATATATATATATATATATATATATATATATATATATATATATATATATATATATTTATATATATTTATATATATATATATTTATATTTATATATATATATATATATATATATGAACTTTGAACTTTGGTTTACATTTATTAAGCCTTTACTAAAAAAGCTTAAATAATAAATAGGAAGCGTTCACTTAATGTTTATTGCTAACGTTACCTTGATAGCTTCATAATGTACACTACAAAGACGCAATAACAAAGTTGGAAAGTTAAATGCACAAATTTTTTTTTTTCGGAATTAAATGTCTAAACGCATGGGTTTAGATGAAATTTATTTTCAAACCTTTATTTGCTACTTTTCGTTGAAGGTATTGGTGTTTTGAACTTATTTAGCCATTTTTTGTGTAACAGTTGTTTAATTAGTAGTTATTAGTAAAACCTTTTTTTTTTTTTTAATAAATTAACTATACCCAGTAAGCACAAAGACGTTTAAAAGACGTTTTAAAGATGTCTTTAAGGAGGTCTAAAAGGCGCACTTGTAGACGTCTAGATCATAAGGCTAAAAGACGTCTAAATAAAGACGTCTTTATAAAAACGCGTTTTAGACGTATTTTAAACGTTTTTTTTCAAGATGTATTTTAGTACATGACGTAACATTTTCGCGTAGATTGTGGTATATATTCATTGTATTTATAAAATCATATATTGTTATAATTTCGTATATACAAAACATACATAGAAACCAGCAATCGAAATAATATTGCTGTAATCACCACAGACGGTTGATGCATCAAGGATGAAAATAATATATAACAATAACAAATATATATCATTCCAGTATTTACAACATTTATAACTTACCTTTGAATATAATAAAATTTTAACATACGTGTAGCTAGCTATTTTTGGACCGCATACTTGATTTATTATATGGCTTGTGGGTATATAAAAACTAAAAATACTGATATTTAACTTATATATTATTCTTGCTATTTTCACTTATTATCATGATCAGTCAACTATTAATTAAAAAAGCAAAATAGTTATTAATAAAAAAAAGATACATTAATATTATAGCAATTATTTTAGTGATTTCTGTGACAACAATTTTAGCAATTGTGTAAAAAAATAATTTAATTTAAAGTAATTTACACTTAAAACTTAAACAAGTTATTGAAAATAATAAAAACTATGTTTTTACTTTGAATATACGACATCTACTTAACGCGTAATGACAAAGCCGTCAAAAAGAAGTCATAATGACATATTTATAAACAGGTCTCAGAAAAGCTTGCTCTTAGCCTTGATCTAGACGTCTTTTAATTAGGGATGTACCGAAGCTTCGGCTTCGGCTTCGGCAATTTTGCCGAAGCTTCGGTTCGGCCGAAGCCATGGGCGTTTTTTGCCGAAACATTGGCTTCGACAAAAAAATGGACATTACTAAGCTGGCATTCGACTGAGGAAGACATTTTTTAAACGTTCACACGTTGTCTGTTTTCCGAATAAAACGTAGTTGAACGTTCAAAATTCTTCTTTTTCTTTTCTTCTTCTGAGAAATTTAAATAAGCCTCTGATTTATACAGTTGCGAAGATTAAATGAATCCAGCAACGGCTTTTGGAGGTGGCAAGGCCGCGTGTAGGGTGGCTAAAAACGGCACGATAGCGGGTAGAAAGTAAAGTTACTTAATGAAACACATTGATTTTTTTATAATCACTCAATATAAGCTGATTTAAACTGTAACATTATAGTAAACTTTATATAATAAAATACCATAACCCTAATACTTAGTTATGATCACTCGAGCTTAGCAATAAAATTTATTTATGCATTAGTTGGTAGTAAAATAATGAAAAATTATTAAAATTTAATTTTTTTAGCATTTAGTTATTAGTTACCCAGTAAGCACAAAGACGTTCAAAAAACGTTTAAAAGATGTCTTTAAGGAGGTCTAAAAAGCGCACTTGTAGACGTCTAGATCATAAGGCTAAAAGACGTCCAAATAAAGACGTCTTTATAAAAACGCGTTTTAGACGTATTTAAGACGTTTTTTTAAAAATAAATTTAAGTACATGACGTAACATTTTTGCGTAGTATGTATTTATACGTCATTGTATTTATACGTCAAATATTGTTATAATTTCGTATATACAAAATATACATAGGAACCAGGAATCTAAGTAATATAGCTATCACCAACAACGGTTGATGATGCAAAGATGAAAATAATAAATAAAAATAACAATTATATATCAAAACAGTATTTTAAACATTTATAACTTATCTTTAGTTATTATAAATTTTAACTTATGTTGTTAGGTAATTTTTGACAGCATACTTGACTTATTATATGGCTTGTGGGTGTATAAAAACAAAAAATACTGATATTTATTTTATATATTATTCTTGCCATTTTCACTTATTATCATGATCAGTCAACTTTCTATTAAAAAAGCAAAATAATTATTAATAAAAAAAAGATATATTAATATTATAGCAATTATTTTAGTGATTCCTGTGACAACAATTTTAGCAATTGTGTAAAAAAGTAATTTAATTTAAAGTAATTTACACTTAAAACTTCAACAAATTATTGAAAATAATAAAAACTATGTTTTTACTTTGAATATACGACATCTACTTAACGCGTAATGACAAAGCCGTCAAAAAGAAGTCATAATAACATATTTATAGACAGGTCTCAGAAAAGACGTCTTTTAGCCTTGATCTAGACGTCCTTTAATGCGTCTTTTAGACTATTTATTATGCGTCTTTTAAACGTCTTTTTAAACTTTAAAAAGACGTCATTTTAAAAACGCCTTTATAAAAGACGTCTAGAAAATGTTTTAAAAATTGACGTCTTCTAGACGTCTTTTTATCTTTTAAAAAGACGCCTTTTGAACGTCATTTTAAAAACGCATTCATAAAAGACGTCTAAAAGATGTCTTTAAAACGCCTACAAAAGTGCGTCTTTACCTAGACTAGTTTTAGTCGTCTATAAGTGTCTAAAATGCGTCTTGTGCTTACTGGGTAGCATCAACTTCTAAAATCCGAGTTATGTTAAATTATATATTTTTTAATATTAAATTAAAATTAAAAATTAAACCTGGAAATAAATCTTCATTTAAAATTACTTAGATGTAACTAAAACATAGCGCACGAGAGTTAAGAGAGTTAACTATTCTCGAAATTTTTAAAAATCTATACAATAAGTTAATTTTAACGCACGAAACAATTTTTATTCAGAAAGTTTGTTTTACTAAGTCACAGACAGAACGCAGAACGACACTACACAGAAAGACACTACACAGAAAAGACACTACACAGAAAAGACACTACACAGAAAAGCACAATTGAAATGTAAGTCAATTGCGTTTGTTTTTGATTTTGTACGCTGGATCATTAGTAAAAGTAAATATACCTGCTCTACAAATATAGGTTAATTGGTTATTTACGACTTCGATTTTTTTTAATTCAAAGAATATTTGAATAAAAAAATTGAACGAATATTGTTTATTTCAATAAATATTATTAAAGGTAAGAAAATAATTAAACTTTCTATTTCAATTTTCAGAATTGTTATTATAACTTTAAGTTATCCATTAGCGCATTATGGCTACCTCATCGCGAAGTAAAAATCCCTTATGGAATTATTTTAAAGTGAGTGATGAAGATGTTGGCAAAGCCATCTGCATACTTTGCAAGAAGATTTTGTCTAGAGGAAGTAAAGACGCACACAACATGTCAACAACAAATTTACAAAACCATCTGAAAAAAAGTACATTACAATATACATAGCATGATTCTTTCTCAGAAGAAAATTATTAACCACGAATCTTTACCAAATCCAAATGAAAAGTCTATAAAACAATTTCGCACTACTCGAACAATATGCTCAGATAGAACAAGCTCTGCTGAATCAGTGCAAATCATTACCAGCACTGCCACAGATGAAACGCAGGGAAGCTCGCGTGTGTCTAATAACACAATTGCCTTTTTTCAAAAAGCATTGACACAGGTAACTCAGCTAACTGTAGCTGAATTCATTTACTATTCAGTATTCATGATTTTGTGACTGGATGGGGGCATGTCTTGTCGAAAAATTATCTTTTGTATAGAAAAATGTTAACTTAACTTATCTAAGCTTATAATATTATAATAAATGTACTGGTGAGGGGGGAAAGATACATACCTCTATCCGCCACTTAGATCCGTCGCTGGCCATTGTTAGTTACAAGTTGCTAAGTAATTTTTTTAATTCGTTGAATTTGTTTCAGGTCTCACTGCGGGAGATTTTGCAAAGAAAAGAATTGTGGCAACTTGATAATTCTATAGCTCAAGCTATTACCAAGCTTATTGGAGAAATGATATGTTTAGACTTGCAGCCATACTGTATTTTTGAAGATAAAGGTTTTACCCGACTTTTAAAGAATTTTGCTCCAAACTATACAATACCTAGTTGAAAGTATTTCTCCACAAAAGTCATTCCACTGATGTATGAAACCATAAAAGCCAAAGTAAAATATGAGCTTGATCAAGCAGATTTCTTAAGTTTAACTAGTGATGGTTGGACCTGTCAGCACACAATTCAATCGTATTACAGTTTAACAGCTAGATTTGTAACGCATGAGTTTACAGTTAAACATTTCATCTTACAAGTTACACACTTCTCTGAGTCGCACACAGGGCACAATATAAGTAAATTCATAAATGAAGCGCTACAATCATGGGAAATTCCCCATGAAAAAAATCATGCAGTTTTAACTGATAATGCAGCCAATGTAATGGCTGCCATTAAAGAGTCAAATTTAGGCGATAAACATCTTCCATGTCTGATACATACTTTACAACTTTGTATTCAGAAAAAGATTTTTAGAGAACAAAGAACAGCAAGTGATACAATAGCTGTTTTTCGAGCATTAGCAGGACATTTCCACCACTCATCTAGTGCTGTGGCTAAACTAAAGGAAATTCAAAGTCAACTAAAATTGCCAGAGCATAACATAATTCAAGATGTTTCCACAAGATGGAATTCGACATACTATATGCTTGAAAGGTTCATTGAGCAGAAAAAAGCTATTACATTGTATTGCATTACCAGAAATCAAGCAAATGCAAAAAATCCTACGGAAAATCAATGGCAACTTGCTGAAATGCTTGTATGCATATTAAAACACTTCGAAAGTACTACAAAAGACATGAGTAAAGAAACGGCATGTATATCAGAGATTATACCATTTATCTATGCAATGGAAAAGTTTCTAGACTACGTTTGTGACACGGCAACTGAAATAAAAACTGTTGTTGATGAACTTAAGAAAGATTTTAACTGTCGTTTTCAAAAATACAAGGATAATGTTGATTTAAAAATCGCGATGATGCTTGATCCTCGTTTCAAGTTAAAGTTTGTTGAAGACAAGAATCATAATATGTTTAAAGAAATACTCCATTTAGAGTTCTACCGTTTTTGTTCCAAATCTCATTTAGAACAAGTAAAAGAAATTGAATTTGGTGTAGCAAGAGGTAGTGGATCAGACTCAGAAGAATCATTAAGTTCATTTTCAGAATCTAAAATTCATGAGTCTGACTCAGATTTTGATGGCCATGGCTCTCCATTAAAAAAAAAAAAACTAATGAGCATGGACATATATAGCTTGTTCCACCAAATCGGTGCAAATAAGTATGCTCTACAAAATTCAGAAAATTCTGACGGACGGAGAAAAAAGAAAAAAACACTAGTTCAATGGGAAAAACTCTAACTGTCAAAGAAAATTGGTAAGAAAACAGAATCTATTTATGATTTTTATATTGTTTATACATTAAATATTAAGTATTTTTTTATCTCTATTCTCATTCTCCATTTTTTTTATTTCAAAAGACGGATAACAGCATTCTTTTATTTTGTTTAGTTGATTAAATTGTAATATTTTAAAAATTTAAACCTAAAATTATCACCTATATTTTATGTATCAGCACCAATGAAGTCAACTTCTACTTGAGCCTTCCAATACTGCCAAAGAATGAATGCCCTTATAAGTGGTGGAGTGCATACCGTTACACTTCCTCTGATCAAGATACTTACAAGTTGAATTTGTCAAAGTTTACAAAGAAAGTTTAGTGCGCGCCTCCTTCATCTGTAAAAAGTGAACGCTTATTTAGCACATCTGGAAACATATTTGAAGCAAAAAGAAACAGACTATTACCCGAACATGGAGAACAGATTGCATTTTTAAATTGTAATATGCCTGCTTTCATTGAATAAATTTTTATTAACTAAATAATAGACTGTAGCTTCTTAGTTCAACTGATTCAACTTTTTAACAAAATTTAAAACAAATACCAAATTTTGTGTTCAAATTAAAATAATGACTACTTTTATATTTTTACATTTTACGTGTTTACATTTTTATAAATTCTTTCAAAGAATAGACCATAATTTACCTTAAGTATCAGTAAATGTCTAAGATTTAGTGATGTAATCTTTCCTATACCTGCTAGATATATAGAGTTAAGACTCTAAATTTCACTCTCTAAATTTTTGTACAAAATTTGTTTAAATTTTTTATAATATTGGTTTGGTTTTATAATTTTCCTAAAATGGGCATGTAGGCCAAAACATTGAAACTAAAAACATTGATATATAATTTTGAAAGCAACTTGATTATTCAAAGCACCGTGGTGAAGTAAATTGAGCTTTAAATTACGTATAGCTTAAGCCGAAGCTTCGGCTTCGGCAAAGTGGCTTCGGCCGAAGCTTCGGCTTCGGCAAAACTGCAGCTTCGGTACATCCCTACTTTTAATGCGTCTTTTAGACTATTTATTATGCGTCTTTTAAAAGTCTTTTTAAACTTTAAAAAGACGCATTTTAAACGTCATTTTAAAAACGCATTCATAAAAGACGTCTAAAAGATGTCTTTAAAACGTCTATAAAAGTGCGTCTTTACCTAGACTAGTTTTAGACGTCTATAAGTGTCTAAAATGCGTCTTGTGCTTACTGGGTATCCTACATGTGAATTACTCAATAATAAGTTTATTTGAGAGCCTTTGATTAAAATAATTTATTTCAACCATAAGGCGCAAAATTAGCTTGGTCATTACTACTAACAAAACTCATCCTAATAAATACTATATGCATGTTTCTTTTTCATAGTTCTAGTTAGAGATATAATTTACATCAATGAATTTGCTGATTTGATATTAAATTTACTGACTAGATATTATATGATTTTCTGATATGATATTAAATCTATTTCTGATATGATTTAAAAAATAAATACGTGTTGTTTAGGTGAAAAAGATCAGCTTTTGAAATATGAAAAACATAAAAAATATGCAAATGTCTTTATTAAAATAGCACACTTTACAACTCATCGAGAAAAAAAGGAAAAAAATTAATAAAAATCATCTTTTTAAAATTTGTTTTTAAAAAATAAAATTTGTTTTCAAAAATAAAATTGAAAAATAAATTTAAAAATAAATTGAAAAATAAAACTTTTTTTTAAAAAATAAAAGCTCCTTATGGTTTTGATGAAGAAGTTACTTTTCTTTATGGATTATGTAAGTATAGCATTTAAAAATAATGAAACTGTTATAAACTGGCAAATCCCTATAAAAGCAGTTTTATACACGAACCACTAAAGTAGTCAACAAAAGCTTATGCAAAGTGCAATAAATTAACATATTAATAATTAAAGCATTTGATATTATTTTTATAAAACAACGCTTTACATATTTAAAAGAGGAAACTTTTTTTCACTTGATAAATATTCAGAGCAATCTCCATCTTCAATAAATTTTCTTATTTGTTAACTCTTTCGGAACGCTATTTGAGGATTTCGTCCACTTGTGTTCGCTGACTTCTTGCCACTTTATTTTTATAATAAACAGAGCTTTTGAAGTGATTTTTTATTTTTTTTTGCAAGTTATTACGTAATGATTAACTAATTAGAATTAGTTAATTTTCCGGAAATATTTTACGTTGTAAATACACAATTTGAATATTAAAGTGTGTAAGTTTTTTCAAAATGGTTTTGCGAAAAAGTTTTAATATTAACTTATATAAAGTTTTGGATTATATGTTAGATAGCGATAATAATTAGAGTAGTTTGGACACTTCTGTTGGTGAAATTAGTAGTGGAGAAGAGGAGGAATTAGACGAGCTTCTCGTTAGTGGTTGTGAATCACAAACACAGTAAGTTTTCATAGATTGTTTGTTACATATAATATATGTGATTTACCACATATAACTAACGCATATTATTTATAATATATTAATAATAACCGTCATAATGTATACTCACATAATCTAAGAAAATGTGTTGCTTATGTTTTAGGTTATGTACTAATAATAAAAAGCACTGAACAAAAGTGCTTTAATTCTGTTTCTTTTCAAACTTCTTTCCAACAAAAGTTGTTTTTTCAATGCCATGTATTGAGATCATCTTAACTGAAGACTCAGGATAAAATTTTATTGCCGAAATGGTGTTAGTTTCATAATCAGAGTCACTGTCTCTTTCAGAAGATAATACACTTTGTTCAATTTCATCAATGTAATTATTATTAGTACATAACCTAAAACAAAAATCAAAACCTGCCATAAAGCCAACAATGCAAAGAATCAGTAATGCCTAACAACAAAATAAGGAAAACAAAGGCTCAAATAATATCCAATGCAGATAACAAACCAAAAGTTTCAAAAGGAAGTACCTTATCATACAATGATCCTGATAATTAAAAGACAGATGCATCGGATTTTAAACCGTCTTGTGAACCTGGAGCTAATTTAGGCCCTTCGCTTTGTACAAAACAATATGGCAATTGATTAATTTTCCTCGTTCTTCACAGATGAAATTATCAATGATGTGTGTAGGCACACTAATACTTATGCGTGGCAGAATATTCATTTTAAGAAAGCATATGCTTATAAAAATGGGACATGAGAAGAAACTAATGTAATTGAAATGAAGAAATTTATAGCCTTCATGATATATTAAGGGCTAGATAAAGCTCCAACTTATAAACGATATTGGAGTACAAAGTCTCTCATGGTTTGTGGGAAAGAGTCATTATATCTAAAGATTGCTTTGTATCCCTATAAGCAATGCTGCATATTGTAGACCCAAACAGTGAAATCAATAAAACTCACAAGCTAAGAAAAGTTAGGCCAGTTATTGACAAATTCAAAACTAAATGTCGAGAATTGTATCAGCCTAATCAAAATGTAGCTGTTGACGAAAGTTTGGTCAAATCAAAGCATCATTCTGGAATTCGTCAATATATCAAAAACAATTAAGTTTGGAATCAAAATGTGTATCATTGCAGTATTGAAATCAGGTTATACTTGGGATTTTAATTTTTATTCAGGAAAAAATAGCAGTACAAGATCCCTCACGGCCTGGTCTATGATGTCGTTATGGAATTAACTAAGCCCCTGCTCAATTAAGGATATCATGTATAATTTTATAATTTTTATACGTCAGTTTACTTAAAAACTTTTTACAAAAAAATCTTGTGGTATAGTAACAGAAAAACGCAAAGGATTTCCTGAGAGTAAGAAAAATGGTAAAATATGAGCTAAAAATAAAAACCAGGGACACATGCGTTGGGAACGCAACAATGAATTTTTGTCATTGTAATGGATAGACAACAAATTTGTAACTGTGCTATCTTCTATTGATTGTGCTTATGATTATTTTGAGGTAAAGCGTAAAAAAAATAGTTGGCTACTAGTGGAATGATATCTTAATCAAAAAACCGTTTGTAGTTCACCGCTACAATTATTTTATAAATGATTTTGACCGATTGGATCAAACTTTGGTCAAGTATAATCTATTAAGGAAGTGTGTTAAATGGTGGAAAACGCTTTTTTATCATCTCATAGACATAGCAGTTGTAAATAGTTTCATTTTGTTCAAACACATGCAGAATCAAAGGAAAGATAGCATGAAAGAAAATTCTTATTATACCCTTTAGGATGTTGAGAGGAACTTATTCAAGATTTATATTGGGCTCGAAGAATTTGCCAATTCCCCACAACAAAAGCCACATTTAATCTATATAAAGTATTATTCTTTATTTAAGTTCAAGAGTGCAAATGAGGAGAAAACCCCTTGAACAGTATTATAAAAAGAACTTTATGACTCAACTTTATCAACTGATTTTAGATATTGACCAAACTTATCAAAATAAAACATTGCTCTGGTTAAAAGTTGATTTTCGTTAAGCAAATCATTATTACAAGACATATATCCAGCAATATATACCAAAGACAATATTAGAATTTTTTTTTTTTTTTTATTATTATTATTATCATCAGGATTTCAATACTTTTGAAGTAATTTATGACACTGTTCAAATAGTTTTAAGGTTGTTTATAATCAGCATTCAGTTTTCACAAGACGTTGCAAAATACTCAAATGCTCTGATGATTGCACTTAGACTATACTTCTTTGTGTTTATAGAATCAATTTGCTCATTCATATCTATTTCTTTACTCTTTAGTGTCAAATGTTTTAAATATCGCAAGATTTCTAATCAGAAATACTGGTGATGCATAACTGTTAAAGTCCATCAGATTACGTTTAATTAGTCTTAAAGAGAGTATAGATGTTAGTTTTTTTAAATTGTTTAGGCCATTGTAATTCAAAGACTACATTAATGCTTGTCACTTTTGAATTTGCATTAGGATTGCACTTTATCCATGTTTTTTTCTCTTCATTGTCTCTTGGAAATCTATAAACTAACGTTTTAGATTCGTTGAATTTTTTTTTTCTATGATAAGTAATTTGGAGTAACAGCCATAAACACTGCATTTTTTCGCCATGTTTTTAACAGACTTAGTAAACTACAAAAATAAAAGAGTCAAATAGATTTTTTTTAATTTTCCACGCCCGTTTTATAGAAGTTAATATCAGCCCCCACATCTTTTTCTAAAGTTTTCGTGTCACGGCCTGTTACATAGGAGCGCCAAGGACTAAGCAAAATATTTCAGTATAATGTTTAAACCAGGAGCTAATCGGGACTGACGCTTTTGCGCAGAGACGTAAAGTTTCCAGCGAATGTAACGCAAACCAAAATAAATGTTGTGGCAAATTTTCTTGAACGTTAATTTTTAGTTGCGTATACACAAAAACATTCACAGAAAGTACATAGAATGTAAAAAAAAAATGTCTTTTAATTAAACCCCTTCGTAAAATTGAGAAAACTTCAATAATATTTGAAAAGTAATTTGTAAACATCTGGACTTTTAGACTAACTTTTTCAGTTTATCTGGTATCTTTGTGACTATGCGCTGTATTAGTTCAATAATTTGATCATCCTTTACCAAATGAAGGTTCCAGCCTGTGAATGCGAACTCAAGTATATGGCAGACATAGGTGGAGTAGGACTGTTTCCAATAGGAAACATTACAAGATTAGATAGTTTGGATTCCTAAGTTAAGTTTAGGGGTGGTTCCTTCTAATATATTTTGAGTTGTTATTAAACATGTGCCTGTATCTCTATTGAGTACTAAAAGTGAGTAAAACTTTTTTTG